GGTCCTCTGATAGGTTAGGTGGGCAGGAAATTCTTATAAAGTTTCAAAACGTTATGAAAAACGTTAATTGAAAGTCATCTATTCTAACCTTACCGAGTAGGTCGGACGACTCAAACAGAAAACGGAACAGTACGTCACTTTTGTGAGTCGATTTCATTTCAAATTACGTCCAAATTTGGCCATAGCGCGCATACAAGCGAAAAGTGGCGTTATTTTTAAGAGGGCGGGTTGCTGGTACATGAATGACAGTTCTCTTCGCAGCAGAGAACCTTTGTATATTTTTTCCTCGCCATGGTTCACAGAGTTATATCCACGCCGTTTTTCCTCGTAGGGGGAAATAAATCAGTTTCATAAATGTCTCGGACGTCACATGTGGCGCCTGTTGTCAGTGTTCTCCAGACGTGTGACAAAACTGCCATACTCCTGAAATGTGTCAGTTTTGGCACATTTCAGGCCGTCAAGTCTCTTCCCATAGCTCGGTCTCAGGAATGTCGTGAATAGTTTCTTTTCGCGACATTCGTGGCGCGTTCGCGCGCGCTTGTGTGTGTTTATCTTCGGGGGGAGGGAGGAAATACGAGGCTCCTGATAGGTTTGTTTTGGTCAGTCTGGCAAGTGAATGATCTGATCACCAGTCGTCGACCACCGCCATTTCCATGAAAAGTGTTCTGGGCGCGGGGGGGGGGGGGGGGGACGATGTCTCCAAGGCGTCGGGGACTTGGTGGTGGTCTCTAGGGGTTGATAGGGGTGAGGGGGGATGGGTGAGGGGGTGGAGAACGGGTATTTGTCACTGTTTTCCCCTCTAGAGGGAGGTGGGGTTTCCTCTCTGGAGAGGGAGAGGGAGGAGGAGGAGGACGGTTTCCTTTAAGAGGGGGAGGAAGAGAAGATGGTTTCCTTTAAGGGGGAGGGGGGGGAGGGGAAGGATGGTTTCTTCTATGGAGGGGGGATGGAAGGGAAGGAGGAGGAGGGGTTTCAGTGACCCGGCGCTGTGTACTCACCTAGTTGTGTTTGCGGGGGTTGAGCTCTGGCTCTTTGGTCCCTCCTCTCAACCCCGTCAATCAACAGGTGTACAGGTTCCTGAGCCTACTGGGCTCTATCATATCTACATTTGAAACTGTGTATGGAGTCAGCCTCCACCACATCACTGCCTAGTGCATTCCATCTGTTAACTACTCTGACACTGAAAAAGTTCTTTCTAACGTCCCTGTGGCTCATTTGGGTACTCAGTCTCCACCTGTGTCCCCTTGTGTGTGTATTAAACAGTGGGTTTTCTTTCTATTGGGGAGTGTTGTACATGCTGCTATGGCGGTGTGTCCACTCACAAGATGAGTGGCGCTGCCCAATAAACTCGTCCCTCGGGGCAAAATTTAAATTTAACCGTGTTAAATAATTCATCCTTGTCCACCCCTGTCAATTCCCCTGAGAATCTTGTATGTGGTGATCATGTCTCCCCGAGGTCTTCTGTCTTCCAGCGACGTGAGGTGCATTTCACGCAGCCTTTCCTCGTACCTCATGCCTCTTAGTTCTGGGACTAGCCTAGTGGCATCCCTCTGAACTTTTTCCAGCTTCGTCTTTTGCTTTACAAGGTACGGGCTCCAAGTGTGTGTGTGTGTGTGTGTGTGTGTGTGTGCGTGCGCGCGCGCCCTTGTTTGTGTTTTTGTGTCTTCACTTATTACAGTTAAGTGCAGCCCTTTGTTATTGCTAAACCTAGCCCCCTGTTGCCACTGTCAGCAGGTGTAGTAGTCCCCTGTTGCCACTGTCAGCAGGTGTAGTAGCCCCCTGTTGCCACTGTCAGCAGGTGTAGTAGTCCCCTGTTGCCACTGTCAGCAGGTGTAGTAGCCCCCTGTTGCCACTGTCAGCAGGTGTAGTAGCCCCCTGTTGCCACTGTCACCAGGTGTAGTAGCCCCCCTGTTGCCACTGTCAGCAGGTGTAGTAGTCCCCTGTTGCCACTGTCACCAGGTGTAGTAGTCCCCTGTTGCCACTGTCACCTGGTGTAGTAGTCCCCTGTTGCCGCCGTCACCAGGTGTAGTAGTCCCCTGTTGCCGCTGTCACCTGGTGTAGTAGTCCCCTGTTGCCACTGTCAGCAGGTGTAGTAGTCCCCTGTTGCCACTGTCAGCAGGTGTAGTAGCCCCCTGTTGCCGCTGTCACCAGGTGTAGTAGTCCCCTGTTGCCGCTGTCACCTGGTGTAGTAGTCCCCTGTTGCCACTGTCAGCAGGTGTAGTAGTCCCCTGTTGCCGCTGTCACCTGGTGTAGTAGTCCCCCTGTTGCCACTGTCACCAGGTGTAGTAGCCCCCTGTTGCCACTGTCACCAGGTGTAGTAGTCCCCTGTTGCCACTGTCACCAGGTGTAGTAGTCCCCTGTTGCCACTGTCACCTGGTGTAGTAGTCCCCTGTTGCCACTGTCACCAGGTGTAGTAGTCCCTGTTGCCACTGTCACCTGGTGTAGTAGTCCCCTGTTGCCGCTGTCACCTGGTGTAGTAGTCCCCCTGTTGCCACTGTCACCAGGTGTAGTAGTCCCCTGTTGCCACTGTCAGCAGGTGTAGTAGTCCCCTGTTGCCACTGTCAGCAGGTGTAGTAGTCCCCTGTTGCCGCTGTCACCTGGTGTAGTAGTCCCCCTGTTGCCACTGTCAGCAGGTGTAGTAGTCCCCTGTTGCCACTGTCAGCAGGTGTAGTAGCCCCCTGTTGCCACTGTCACCAGGTGTAGTAGTCCCCTGTTGCCACTGTCACCTGGTGTAGTAGTCCCCTGTTGCCACTGTCAGCAGGTGTAGTAGTCCCCTGTTGCCGCTGTCACCTGGTGTAGTAGTCCCCCTGTTGCCACTGTCACCAGGTGTAGTAGCCCCCTGTTGCCACTGTCACCAGGTGTAGTAGTCCCCTGTTGCCACTGTCACCAGGTGTAGTAGTCCCCTGTTGCCACTGTCACCTGGTGTAGTAGTCCCCTGTTGCCACTGTCACCAGGTGTAGTAGTCCCCTGTTGCCACTGTCACCTGGTGTAGTAGTCCCCTGTTGCCGCTGTCACCTGGTGTAGTAGTCCCCCTGTTGCCACTGTCACCAGGTGTAGTAGTCCCCTGTTGCCACTGTCAGCAGGTGTAGTAGTCCCCTGTTGCCACTGTCAGCAGGTGTAGTAGTCCCCTGTTGCCGCTGTCACCTGGTGTAGTAGTCCCCCTGTTGCCACTGTCAGCAGGTGTAGTAGTCCCCTGTTGCCACTGTCAGCAGGTGTAGTAGTCCCCTGTTGCCACTGTCACCAGGTGTAGTAGTCCCCTGTTGCCACTGTCAGCAGGTGTAGTAGTCCCCTGTTGCCACTGTCAGCAGGTGTAGTAGTCCCCTGTTGCCGCTGTCACCTGGTGTAGTAGTCCCCCTGTTGCCACTGTCAGCAGGTGTAGTAGTCCCCTGTTGCCACTGTCAGCAGGTGTAGTAGTCCCCTGTTGCCACTGTCACCAGGTGTAGTAGTCCCCTGTTGCCACTGTCACCTGGTGTAGTAGTCCCCTGTTGCCACTGTCAGCAGGTGTAGTAGTCCCCTGTTGCCACTGTCACCTGGTGTAGTAGTCCCCTGTTGCCACTGTCACCTGGTGTAGTAGTCCCCTGTTGCCACTGTCAGCAGGTGTAGTAGTCCCCCTGTTGCCACTGTCACCAGGTGTAGTAGTCCCCTGTTGCCACTGTCAGCAGGTGTAGTAGTCCCCTGTTGCCACTGTCAGCAGGTGTAGTAGTCCCCTGTTGCCGCTGTCACCTGGTGTAGTAGTCCCCCTGTTGCCACTGTCACCAGGTGTAGTAGTCCCCTGTTGCCACTGTCACCTGGTGTAGTAGTCCCCTGTTGCCACTGTCAGCAGGTGTAGTAGTCCCCTGTTGCCACTGTCACCTGGTGTAGTAGTCCCCTGTTGCCACTGTCACCTGGTGTAGTAGTCCCCTGTTGCCACTGTCAGCAGGTGTAGTAGTCCCCTGTTGCCACTGTCACCTGGTGTAGTAGTCCCCTGTTGCCACTGTCAGCAGGTGTAGTAGTCCCCTGTTGCCACTGTCACCAGGTGTAGTAGTCCCCTGTTGCCACTGTCAGCAGGTGTAGTAGTCCCCTGTTGCCACTGTCACCTGGTGTAGTAGTCCCCTGTTGCCACTGTCACCTGGTGTAGTAGTCCCCTGTTGCCACTGTCAGCAGGTGTAGTAGTCCCCTGTTGCCACTGTCAGCAGGTGTAGTAGTCCCCTGTTGCCACTGTCACCAGGTGTAGTAGTCCCCTGTTGCCACTGTCAGCAGGTGTAGTAGTACCTGTTGCCACTGTCAGCAGGTGTAGTAGTCCCCTGTTGCCACTGTCAGCAGGTGTAGTAGTCCCCTGTTGCCACTGTAAGCAGGTGTAGTAGTCCCCTGTTGCCACTGTCAGCAGGTGTAGTAGTCCCCTGTTGCCACTGTCAGCAGGTGTAGTAGTCTCCTGTTGCCACTGTCAGGTGTAGTAGTCCCCTGTTGCCACTGTCAGCAGGTGTAGTAGTCCCCTGTTGCCACTGTCAGCAGGTGTAGTAGTCCCCTGTTGCCACTGTCAGCAGGTGTAGTAGTCCCCTGTTGCCACTGTCAGCAGGTGTAGTAGTCCCCTGTTGCCACTGTCAGCAGGTGTAGTAGTCCCCTGTTGCCACTGTAAGCAGGTGTAGTAGTCCCCTGTTGCCGCTGTCAGCAGGTGTAGTAGTCTCCTGTTGCCACTGTCAGGTGTAGTAGTCCCCTGTTGCCACTGTCACCTGGTGTAGTAGTCCCCTGTTGCCACTGTCAGCAGGTGTAGTAGTCCCCTGTTGCCACTGTCACCTGGTGTAGTAGTCCCCTGTTGCCACTGTCAGGTGTAGTAGTCCCTTGTTGCCACTGTCAGCAGGTGTAGTAGTCCCTTGTTGCCACTGTCCCTCCTAATGCCTCATAAGGACTTCACTTACGCTCAAATGTTGATGGTAATATTCCCACTGAAGTGTAAAAATTCCACCCATGTACCAATCTCGTTTCTCTCTATTATCCACTACGCCCGAGTCTTAGACCCGTCCCACCGTTTGCCTTCGTATTCATTCCATTTCTCCTTGTTTTCATGTCCAGGTTTATCGTTGAGTGAAAGTGAAGATAAAGTGTGTTCTGTGAGGTGTCCGTCGCTGTGCTGGTCGTAGCGACCAGAAAGTGGTCTGAAAAATGGGAATAATTTCATGTCTAATTAATACAATGCCAGTTGCAATTGGAGCTGCAAATCAGAGCCACGGGATGATCGTTAATGCGCCGAGCTATAAAATATTCACCGCTCTCTTCCCCGGGATATTTTATATATTATATTATATATAATAATATTTACAAAATGTTCAAATCTAAATTTAGTAACACTTCCGTTTGTTTGAGTTTCAATAAGCTGGAAGTAGGGTATGACCACACAACTAGCTGCCAAACTCTTGGGTAGCTATTGCTGGGTGAACAGTTGCATTAGGTGAAAGGCAACGGACTCAACTATTACTGTCCTGCCTGGGAATTTACCTCAGCAACCTGGAGTGTAAGTCGATAACGAAGCCAATTGTATATTTTATATATATATATATATATATATATATATATATATATATATATATATATATATATATATATATTATATACACACACACACATACACACACACACACACACACACACACACTGTAGTGAGACAGAGGCAAGGAAGGAGTTATGGTCTGAGTAACATAGTGGCGGAGAGTAGTGTGAACATTCTGGGTTCTCTAATAGGATTTTAGTGTTTGTTCTTAAGCTGCTTCTTTAAAACAAATACGTCCAGGTGCACTTTGGAAAAAAAAAATATTGAAAAACCCATATGAACCATTCGCAGATTGTGATTAGAGTGCGGGAAGATTGTGATTGGAGCGCGGGAGGATTGTCATTGGAGCACTCACAATAGCGATTGGAGGACAGTAAGGGCTAAGAAACTTGTGCTGGAGCCTCATAGTGTCTGTAGTGTGATGACAGGTAGTGGAGTGGGACTCAGGGTTGTGGTGTGTGATGGAGGAGGAGAAGGCCACCAAGACCGCCATGATGACAGCAGCAAGACGGTTGTGTGTGTGCTATATCTCTTGTGGGTCTAAGGTGATCATCATCTTCTAACAGCACATCTCTGCTACGATGTTGCTGCTCCCTCATGTTGAAATTTCAAGTTTATGGAAGGTCGGGGGAGGGGGTGTATACTCATCTAGTTGAACTCTCCTAGTTGTGCTTGCGGGGGTTGAGCTTCGGCTCTTTGGTACCGCCTCTCAATCGTCAATCAACTGGTGTACTGGTTCCTGAACCTATTGGATTCTTATCACATCCACACTTAAAATTGTGTATGGAGTCAGCCTCCACCACATCACTTCCTAATGCATTCCATTTATTAACTTCTCTGACACTAAAAAAAAAAAAATCTAATGTCTCTATGGCTCATTTGGGCACTCAATTTCTACTTGTGTCCCCTAGTGCGAGTGCCTCTTGTGTTAAATAAACTGCCTTTGTCTACCCTATCAATTCCTTTGAGAATCTTGTATGTGGTGATCATGACCCCCCTAACTCTCCTGTAGGTGTGTGTGTGTGTGCGCGAGAAATATGGAATTAGTTGAATATGGGAAAAAGGAGCCGAGAGCTATCAAATGACGTTTTAATCTTAGTATAACCATGGAATATCATGGCACCAGTAGCTATATGAACACGCATCTGAAGGAAAGTTGAAAATGCGTTGGAGTGACAGGTTAGGTGTTGTCCAGATGAGGACAGGCGGGAGAAAGGGCGTGGCGGAGCTGGAAAAATAGGGAGGTTGGGGGAGTGGGTAGAGGGGGCGGTAGTGAAGGATAGAGGCGACACTGCACACAAAGGCTATAACCACGTGTTTCTTCCTGCCATTCTGACCATTCTTACCAGCCGACTGGAGCCGCCTGAATGTTTTAGAGTGTTTAGAAGCTGATAATTTCGCCCGGGCAATATTTAGGCGTTCATGGGTAAAGTTTGCTCGTCTTCCCCAAGAGTGGGAGTGTGGGCCGTCGCTCTCTTCCCCATTAGAATAATTTCCTCATTAGCAATGGTGTAATTTAAGCGAACAGAGGGAAAGGGAAAAGGCTTATTTGCATGTCGGGATGGCGTCCTTTGTTTTATAATTATCATAACGCCTGAAAACCTCTCCCCTTCCCTCCCTCCCTCCCTGCCCAGCGGTGGTGGAGGCCTCAGCGATGGTGCCAGCTGGGGACCTACGTAGGCTCTCGCTATTACCACTTCGCACGGCCCCTCCTGGAATTGCTTCATTTGCGAACTTCGCTTGTATTTGCATGCTGTCGCGCCCTCCGCTTGCTCCGACTACCCCCACCACCACCCCTTCCCTTCCCATCCCTGCAGCCACCTCTTCCTTGTTGCTCGGTGATCCTTTCCGCGGTCGGTGGGATGGGTGGGATGTGGTAGTGGTGTGGCGGATGGTGGTGCAGTGGGTGTATTGGTCGGGTGTGTATTTTGGTGATTTGTGAGTGGCGTTAGGTACTTCCGGGGTTGAGCTCTGGCTCCTTGGTCCCGCCTCTCAACCGTCAGTCAACTGATGTACAGGTTCCTGAGCCTACTGGTGTGTGGCTACCCTTTTTTTTTATATAAGCTTGCGATTAAGTCTGGTGTGTTAGTGTCATACCAGCTCAGATACCTGTTATCAGGTGACCCAGTACTCACATAGTGCTTTTGGTTCACCTCAATTCCCCGAACAGATAAATGAAGAGAGATTCACAAACATTCACGCTGTGAGAAAATCAGTAGGAGCCTTGAGGTGGATTCGAACCCTATGCTGCGGGTACCACCAAGCACACGCCTTAGACCGCTACACCACGACATGGTCAAAAGGACTGCAACCTGGGATTCTGCAGACTCCACGAGGGTTCGCGAGGTTTCCACTCAAGCCAAATCAGGGTTTCACACAATCTCCGACTTCACACAATTGATTCGTCGCGTTAATATGGGATTTCTCCGTACATTCAGGTTTTCAATACGTGGCCGATAAGTTAGGTTAGAGTGTATAATTTTTAGTACACCATTTCCTGCCCGTTGTGGCGAGGAACCGAGAGGCTTGTGGGGGTTTCCCCGAGACTTGCACTCAAGATGGGCCACACGACATCTTGAGGCACGTACATCTGGGGTGTAGAGGTCCTGGGGTGTAGAGGTCCTGGGGTGTAGAGGTCCTGGGGTGTAGAGGTCCTGGGGTGTAGAGGTCCTGGGGTGTAGAGGTCCTGGGGTGTAGAGAGGTCCTGGGGTGTAGAGGTCCTGGGGTGTAGAGGTCCTAGAGTGTAGAGGTCCTAGAGTGTAGAGGTCCTAGAGTGTAGAGGTCCTAGAGTGTAGAGGTCACGAAGCACACTATCCTCTATCTCAAATACTGGCAGTGGTGATATATCTTTCACTCCTGAGTACAGTACATGTTTTATTCAAAAAGTACACATATGAGTCATTTTCTACTAACCATCAACAACCCCGCTATTCCTGTGCAGAATTATTATAATTTTTTTGTTAAATTGATCGGTCAATGACCCCTTCATTTTCTGATGTGTCAATTATCTCTCCCCCACCACACCCCCTCACCCCCCTCTCACCTCATTACTTTATAACTACCCGTTTTTTTTCACGTGACTTTTACCCTCATAAGTGGGTGATGTGGGCGTGTTAAGTGTGGGTCACTTAGGTGTTAAGTGTAGGTCACAGGACGCAGGACTTCTCTGTACTACTACTACTTTTGTCTTCGCCTTTGTTACTTATAACTATGTTTACTTTTTGATTAACATGTTTGATGGTGTAAGGTCATGAGTCTGTGCTAGTTACCCTGGCCCCTGTGCTAGTTACCCTGATCCTTTAGTTACAGCGAGTGTATGCTAGTTATCACGAGACTGTGCCAACTACCCCGAGGCAGCCCTGAAATTTGCAGAAAACCCGGCCAACACAAGCGAGGTTCAGCCAGTGATATTTTCAGCCCCATGACACCCTTTTAATTACTGTTTTTTTGTTCTGCTTATTCATATCTGACGAGAATTTAGTTATATATATATATATATATATATATATATATATATATATATATATATATATATATATATATATATGTCGTACCTAGTAGCCAGAACGCACTTCTCAGCCTACTATGCAAGGCCCGATTTGCCTAATAAGCCAAGTTTTCCTGAATTAATATATTTTCTCAATTTTTTTTCTTATGAAATGATAAAGCTACCCATTTCATTATATATGAGGTCATTTTTTTTTATTGGAGTTAAAATTAACGTAGATATATGACCGAACCTAACCAACCCTACCTAACCTAACCTATCTTTATAGGTTAGGTTCGGTTAGGTAGCCGAAAAAGTTAGGTTAGGTTAGGTTAGGTAGGTTAGGTAGTCGAAAAAACATTAATTCATGAAAACTTGGCTTATTAGGCAAATCGGGCCTTGCATAGTAGGCTTAGAAGTGCGTTCTGGCTACTAGGTACGACATATATATATATATATATATATATATATATATATATATATATATATATATATATATATATATATATAATATATATATATATATATATATATATGACGTACCTAATAGCCAGAACGCACTTCTCTGCCTACTATGCAAGGCCCGATTTGCCTAATAAGCCAAGTTTCCTGAATTAATAAATTTTATCTAATTTTTTTTCTTATGAAATGATAAAGCTAACCATTTCATTATGTATGAGGTCAGTTTTTTTTTAATTGGAATTAAAATTAACGTAGATATATGACCGAACCTATCCAACCCTACCTAACCTAACCTATCTTTATAGGTTAGGTTAGGTTAGGTAACCGAAAAAGTTAGGTTAGGTTTGGTTAGGTAGGTTAGGTAGTCGAAAAACAATTCATGAAAACTTGGCTTATTAGGCAAATCGGGCCTTGCATAGTAGGCAGAGAAGTGCGTTCTGGCTATTAGGTACGACATTATATATATATATATATATATATATATATATATATATATATATATATATATATATGACTGAAAACTCACACCCTAGAAGTGACTCGACCCATACTCCCAGGAGCAATGCAACTAGTATCTACAGGACGCCTTAATCCGCTTGACCATCACGACCGAACAAAAATTATATATTATATATATATATATATATATATATATATAT